CCCCCCTATCTCCGTCTTTGATTCTAGCCATCCACATGCTCAATTTACATTTTTGTCAGCCAACCATGTTCAGTTGTGGCTTTTTGGCTTTGATGATACATGACGTTTAATGGTGTCAAGTAGAATTAATGTTAATTTTTCTTACCGAGTTACCGTTACTGTTACAGTTAGAGATTTGAATAACTATTACCGTAAGAACAGTGATCAATTGTGTAATTATTCAAAATATTAGTGAACATTCTCGTAGTTAACCTGTGCTTTCGATTGAGGGATAAAAAAATAAACTATCGACTTGAGACCCGTGGGGCCCCTACCCGAAATTGGATGGAAAATTCTCATCCTGTCGGGTTGGCGGGACAAGACGAGTATATAAAATGTTAAAATGAATAACAAACACAGAAATGAGTGTCCTGCCTCATCCCCCTGCCTTGTCCCATCTTAAGCGAGTTACCGGACAAAAAATCCCCCGTTGCGACGGGGCATAGACTGACCACTTCGTCCATTAACATTCCTATCTATATTCATTGGCCCTGGTCATGTGACTTTAATTAAATTTATTAATCTTGAAAACCTCATGTAGGACATGGCTCAACTAAACTTGTGTTCTTCATTTTTTGACCTTATATCGTGCAATTTGTCCATAGAAAATTAGTTGCTTAATTGGACTGTCGGCAACTCATAAACTGCCAACCAAATATGAATAACTTCTAATAATGCTATGTTACGTAAGATATCTACTGCACTCGCTGGTTATGAATAGCATTATTGTTAAACTTATCCCCTCATTTGGACTCCATTAAAATGTGATTTTTTGGGCAATGTGTTTTGGAATAATGATTTTGTGAAGAATATGTGATTAAAGAATAAGAAAAAATTTTGGGTTTACGTATAATATTATTTATGGGAAAATGTGTGGTTGAAAATAAATTTTGAAAAAATATATTTTTTAGAAAATGGAATCCAAATAGGGGTCTAATATTCATCTTAAAAGATCAACATTGAAATAAGAGTCGTTAAGTCCTTGTATACTTATTAGTATTTTCATTATTGTTCGATGCTGAACTTATTCCTTAATCGAAAGTGATAGTAAATCAAGAATGCATCACCGAAACGGACAAACAAGTCCATTTAGCTTAACCTTACTCTCAAATAGTGATGTAATTGCATCCGTCTTTCACGATACTAGGTATTTTCAAGTCTAGAAACTAATGAACACTTATCAAATTCAGTTGATCATATCAAACGTGTCATTAAAGTAAAGACACTATCAACATGTTCTCATTTTGGGCCTACGATCCAATTTAAATTCCAGATTACATCTACAAAGAGAATAAAATTGTCTCAAAAATCTTGTGCGTATCTACCAAAGGATCCGTAGATCTTTTAGGCTGATGTATTTGGTTTGTGAATTCAATATTGAATTACTGCATTAGAAATATTTTTAATATTTGGTAGTGCCCTATGATATTAATTTCAATCATTGTGTGATTAAGAAATCTTAGACAGATTTCAAGTTGTGCAGGACCCAATTAACATTATGTCTAAAACAAAGAAATAATATTCAAACACCAAAATAGTACCGAACTTACCTAACGTGTCCCCGTTATGGATTAAGCCTAATCTCAAATACGAAAGCAATAATATAACGAAAAAAATTCAAGAAAATACAGAGATTTATAATACTCTACTACGTCACTGCGACTCTTCCTCCACGTTACCATGAAGATTGATCTCTATTCTCTACCGAGTGGATAAATGAACGGTATAATATATATAACGGACTCATTGTCGAAGAAGAGTTGCGAGGAGATCTGCATCAATAACACTGATGTCCCTCGAAGCCAGAAGTTCAGAAAGTCTCTCACTTAAACCATCAACATCTTTGTGCAGCTTCTTTATATAATTGCATGTCTCCTTCAGTATCTTTGATGCTGATACCTATTGCATATTATAATAAAGAAATACAAAATTTAGGACTAAATTGATTGAAATTTTTTATTTTTTAAAAGGTTACTGGTAATAGGAATCACTGGGTGCACCCGGAAGTTGTCTTTCGCGAAACATATTAAGTAATTTATAATTTTGAGTCAAATTCAAACTTTAATTAACTACACATTCACAATTACCATACACGAATTATCCGCACATTTCATGGGACTCAATACTCACCTCATTATAAAAATCCAAACACATATATCTTCAGTAAAGAATGACATATAATTATGGTTTTAATATATGTGTGAAATAAATACCGCTTAAGGGGCAAGTAATTTTCTTTTTCATGCATGCGACAAATCTTCAAAATTGCATTTTTCTACACAGGTATGAACCTAACATTATATAATCTCCTGCATTGGTGTTCTTGTAATTCAATCGC